TCAACCCAAGTTGAAAAATGGGCCGAATGGAAGAAATTTGCAATGACACCTGTTAGCCTTCGGAGAATATAGGACAAGCCTCCATGCTGAGCCAAATCACTGACCCAGCTTACCACGTCTTGCTACTTCTGATGACCCACATTTTCTGGGCATTCATCCAATTCTCAACAATACCCTAAAAGGATGCCAGGATTCCTCCTGCAGCCTCTACATTCGAAGGTGGCCTTTGGTGCTTCGTGATCCAGTCCTTATTTAGTTTCCTGATCAGGGCACCGTGTCATAAACAGCAATTAGCTTCATATTACAACAGGGGTAATCCTTGTTTAGCAGCTGCCTTAGGTAGCAACCATTTGCAAAAAACGTCAGTAATAAAGGGTAGCATCTTCAGCCACCGTGCCCATTTAGGACAACAAAAGTTCAGTTTGAAACTGACTCTGATTTTGAGACCTAGTCAGTTTCCGCTGGCCAAAGGTTTCTAACAGCTCAGCTCAACTTGCTCTTAGCATTTTTTTAGAGAAACCCTCAGCTGTGGAGAAAAGCAGCTCAGAAAGAATGAGCTTGTTTAAATAAACTGTCCACCCTGTGAGGAGGCAAAGAAAAGGGGGAAATGGAGGGGAAAACTGGTTAAGCCCTGTACAAGACAATTTTATCTGAATGGGATGGCAGCAAATACCAGTCTTTGCAGTGTCTCTCTGACTTGTGTATTTATTTAGTGACCATTTCACTTAATGACCAAGTCTGACTACGCATTTTCGATTGTCCTTGGGCTGGGACTGGCACCGTAGGGAGAAACTCTAGACGTGTTACATACTTATAGTTTAGTTTAGTTTACTTTATTGTCATTGCACCTCGTACAACGAAATCAAACACCATCTTCAGGGCACATCATGACCATGAAAATAAACACAAACACACATCCTTCACCCTTCACACATTGAACCAGAAACCCCCCGACACCACACCAACACTGCACTATACAGCAGAATTCAAAAGAGCTGCTGCCCTGGAATAGAAGCTGTTTTTCAGACTGTTTGTCCTTGTTTTTATTATCCTGTACCGTCTGCCAGATGGTAATAGTTCAAAAAAAGGGGGTTCCCAGGATGAGATGGATCTTTGAGAATGTTTTGAACTTTCTTAAGGCAGCAGGAGCTATAAAGCTCTTCCAAAGAGGGGAGAGGGCAACCCGTGATCTTCTGGGCAATGACATTACTCCTCTGGAGCTCTTTCCTATCTGCCACTGTGCAATTGGCAAACCCTACAGAGGTGCAGTATGTTAAAATGCTCTCTATGGTGCAGCGGTAGAAGGTGACCAGCAGTTTCTCATTCAGTTGTTGTTTTCTGAGAAGCCTCAGGTAGTATAATCTCTGCTGGGGCCTTTTGACCAGGGCTGCAATGTGGGCACCCCAGGTCAGGTCCTCTTTTAGGGTAACATCCAGAAACTTAAAACTGGCCACTTGCTCCACTCAGTCTCCATTGATAAGCAAGGGCTGGATGTCTGGTCTGTTCCTTCTATAATCCACTATAAGCTCCTTGGTCTTATAGGTGTTGAGGACCAAGTTATTGTCTCCACACCACGAAAGCAAGTGGTCCACTTCATCTCGGTAGGCAGATTCATCCCACCCACCCCCGGAAATGAGTCCCACCACTGTTGTATCATCTGCAAATTTAGCAATAGTATTACTAGCGTGAGTGGGAATGCAGTCATGCACATAAAGAGTATAGAGTAAGGGACTCAACACGCAACCCTGTGGTGTATCAGTGTTAAGAATAAGGGCTGAAGTGGTATGATTACCTAATCTGACCCTCTGTGAGCGGCCAGACAGGAAATCCATAATCCAAAGGTAGATTAAATTAGAAAGCCCAAGGTCCAGAGGTTTAGACACTAGTCTATGTGGAAGAATTGTGTTAAACGCAGAACTAAAATCCACAAAAAGCATCCTCACATAGCCCCCCCGCTGTTTTAGATGAGTCAGAGCAGTGTGAAGAGTGATGGCTACAGCGTCCTCTGTAGATCTATTTTTTCTGTATGCAAACTGGTGTTTATCAAATGTATGCGGAAGACCAGAAATGATGTGCCAGCAGACCAATTTCTCAAAGCACTTCATGATGATAGGAGTGAGTGCCGCTGGTCTGTAATCGTTGAGGTTATTGATAGGGAACTTCTTTGGCAGCAGAACAATGGTGGAAGCCTTCAAACAAGATGGAATAGTGGACTGGGATAAAGACCAATTGAAGATCCTGGTAAAATCTCCAGCCAACTGATCAGCACAGTCTTTAAGCACTTGGCCAGAGATACCGTCAGAACCGGCAGCCTTTCTTGGGTCCACAGCCCTCAGAATGCTCCTCACCTCCTGTTCCTCCACAATGAGGTGGGAGATACAATTGACCGGAAGTTGTGTTTTATCCGTCTCTGGTGTCTCCACTTCAAAGGGAGCAAAGAAATGATTCAGTTCCTCTGCCAATAAAGCATTCCCCTCAGCAGGGATGACATTGATCGGTTGATGGTTTGTAATTTGTTGAATCCCTTGCCACACCTACCTCATGTTATTGCTATAAAAATTATCCTCAATCTTCCTCTTATAATCAGTCTTGGCTTTCCGAATACCTTTCTTCAGATTAGCTCTGGCAACACTGTATCTTGCCCCATCACCGGACCTAAAGGCCTTGGTCCTGTCACGCAAGAGGCGCTGGACTTCCTTGGTCATCCAGGGTTTCTGATTGGGATAGATCCTAATACGTTTATCCACAGTGATAGCATCTGTGCAGTGTTTGATATAGCACAGAACAGTTGCAGTAGACACACACATTGGGAATTTTCAAGTCATCCCAACACTTCTTCAGCAGCCCCACCTTGAACATTATTGTCAACTAAAAAAAAAAATACTAATTTGGCCTTTTTAGTTGCCAGCAGAAAGGGAGTTGGGGGAAGCAGTGAATTCACATGCATGCCTTAGATAATTGCCTTGGCAGCCCAAAGCTGTCGATGTACAAGAATATTACTGGAGAGCGTGATTGATGACTCTTGGCTATGGATGTGTCCCATTGGAGAATATACATCCAGGGGGTGAGGGGAGGACCAGGGTCAAGGGGGAAATGAATGATATATTTTAATGTCAGCTGCACCCACCTAACACCAACATGGCCACTTCTAATAAATCAATTTTCTTTTCTCTGAAATATGTGGCTAAAGACTTATGATTTGAATGGGGGTAGATTTGTTGGAGTCCTGACAATTATATCTTGTCAATTGCTGAATATAGGTAGTCCTCAACTTACAACAGTTCATTTAGTGACCGTTAGTTAGAACAGCACTAAGAAAAAGGGACTTATGACGGTTTTCACATGACCACTGCAGAACCCCCATTCTTTTGATCATGTTCAAAAAAATCAAAATCCACACTCTTGGCAAGTGTCATATTTATGATGGTTGCAACGTCCCAGGGTCATGCGATCCCCTTTTGCGACCTTCTGACAAGCAAAGTCCATAAGGAAGCCAGATTCACTTAACAACTGCAGCGATTTGTTTAACAACTGTGCCAAAAAAGGATTGTAAAATGGAGCGAAACACATTTTGGGCTCAGTTGTGGTCGTAACTTGAGGACTACCTGTACTACTGGAAGGCATGATTTGCCACAGGGCATCTTATTAAAACCTTGCCCCGACTTGTCATAACTCATGGGAAGAGTGCTTGGACCATATTAAAAAGCCAAAAACTCCAATTTAAAGAAAAAAACAAAACACCAGACTCTGGAGAATTATCACGTCCTATGACAATCCATAAATTGCAGCCATGTGAAGCCTTGTTATCGAACCATTACTGTCCTTTATTCAAGATATTCCACATTATCTTTGGTGTGACGATTGGCTCTGCCAATCCCCATTCCTCACCACCCTTTAACCACAGGGAAAGCAGGCACAGCATCGCCCCGCGTACGCATCCGGGAAGGTCCATGAACAGGCTCCTGTCAGTTCTCCTCAGCAACGGCCTTAAATCTTAAATCCACGTACTTATTGTCCCTCTTTCTTCTGAGTCGTTTTCATTCCACCTTTTTTGATGGCTGCTTCTCCTCCTCCGAAGACGTTGTCCCGTGCCAGAGCTGCAGAAGGATGATTCCATGACACACGTGGAGAGAAGCTGAGCTGTAAACCGTCGAGGGATACGTGTTCCATGAGAGCTCGATTAAACCTAGGATAAGCACTCTGAGGCGAGAGACCAACAGAAGGAAACCATGATTTAGTTTGTGGCAGAAAGCACTAAAAAAAGGCAACCTACCTGCTATTAGGAAAGGAAAGGAGTTTTACTGTTAATTCCCCATTGCTGTGAAAATCTACTCTGTGTGTGTGTGTGTGTGTGTGTGTGTGTGTGTGTGGTTTCATGTGTTGGACTAGTGAGGCACATGAAAGCCACAGGTCATAGCATCAACTTCAATGGCACCAAAACCCTAGCCACTATAGAAAACCCCAGCCACAGAATTATCAGAGGAGCCATAGAGATTGAAAAAAGACCTGAAAGCATGAATAGAAGAGATGATTCCACCAGACTGTCAATTATTTGGAAGCCTGCACTCACAAACAAAAAATCTCCACACCACGAGCCAGGCAAACACCTGGGCACAAACAGATCCCCCCTGATACCTCCAGCTCAAACACACCCCAACCAGGCGCCCAGATGAAACCTAGCTTCCTAACAAATGATAGCCGTCCATTTACTCGGAGCCAAGCTGCACTAAAGGCCTCCAATAAAGGAACACAATGTTGCCAGCCAATCAAGACACAAAAAGAGCCACAAAACAGACAGAAGATATTAGAAACACCAATCAAGCAGAACACAGCAAACTCCAAGACCAATAAACACAGACCAAAACTCCCAACCAATCAGGATGAAGAAAAAACCATTCTGGCACAGCAGTAGGCTAGCCCCAAATTTAAAACTGAAACAACTGTAAAAGTCTGACTCACAGACGAACACAATACAGAAGCCTGATGATGGTAGATGAGATTCTGCCGAAACGTTGCTACAACTTTAAAAGCACAACTATAATGATGTGGGAAAATACCCAAACAAAGCTGAATACCATTCATGTAAGTACCTGCGAAAACTTAAGAAAAAATATATATGTATGTATGTATGTTTTCTTAAGTTTTCGCGGGTACTCACATGTATGTTATTCAGCTTTGTTTGGGTATTTTCCCACGTCATTATAGTTGTGCTTTTAAAGTAGCAACGTTTCGGCAGAATCTCATCTGCCATCAACAGACACACACATATATATAAAGTGAAATAACCCTCATGTGTCATCACAAAATCTCCTGAACTGTAAAGCCCACAAATTTGAAATTTGGCACGTATGTTCCTCTTGGCTTCTAGATGCTCGTTAAGAAAGGATTTTATGAAATGACCACCAGAGCATTAGTATTTCCTATATTATTATTAACACGCTCTGCTGCTAAGGAGTTCTCCTCCCCCTCCCCACCTGAAAAGAAATCTCTTCCAAATGCAAAACACTCAGAGAGAAGTTTCAGTTTCACAGCACCAAGCAGCCTTAGTCCAGAGAACAGTTGAGCTAAGCCATGCCCAGGCTCCTTGCTGTCTCCTTGCTCACACAGCAAATATTATTTCACTTTCCAACTAGCCCTCAATTCTCTCACATATTGACAGGACGCTTAGCCAGCGGAATACCGATGGATGCTGGTGGGCAGAGGCACAATTTTATTTCCTTATTTTCCTCCCCCCAAAACTAAGCCTGATCACATAGTTTAATAGAGAAGCACAGGTATAGAGCTAGTATGTACATAAATGCAAGATAGATGGATTTTCTAGACCTCATTGAGTCACCTGGAAACAAAGAGGCTACTTCTGGGAAGAAATGATGTCCCTTAGACTGTCACATGCATGCAAAGGGCCTTCCTTCCCTTCCCATGTTAACCCTACAGGTAGTCCTCCACATTTAGTGACTCATTTAGTGACGAAAGTTACAACAGCATTGAAAAATGTGACTTCTGACTGTTTTTCATACAAGTTACAACCGTTGAAGCATCCCCATGGTCACCTGATCAAAATTCAGATGCTTGGTCACACTGCCTTGTATTTATGACTGTTGCAGTGTCCTGGGGTCATGTGATCACCTTTTGTGACCTTCTCACAGACAAAGTCAATGGGGAAGCCAGATTCACTTAACAACGGGTGACTAACTGAACCACTGCAGTGATTTACTTAATAATTGCGGCAAGAAAGGTCGTAAAATGGAGCAAAACTCACTTTGCAACTATCTCTCTTGGCAACAGAAGTGCTGGGTTCAGTTGTGGTTGTTAAGTCTACTTGTAAAATACAGGACTGCCTGTATTTCAGGATATATAACAAGTTCTTTGGGTTTTCCAGCTTTAAAATAGTAGTTAACAGGGCAACCAATTTTGGATAAATATTTAGATGAGGACTAGCGACCTGGGATTTTATGCTGCCCACTCCTCCTCCCCCAATCCCATCCTCCACTCCTGCTTCAATTGGTCTCTGTTCAAGTAGGTTAAACGAAGGATCACTTTCTATCATCATGTGGCCAGAGTGACACCGCACACTAACAATTAACAAAGCAGTCAGGTAAGGCATGAACATGCATTATTGGCGTATTGTCTTAATTATGAACATTTAAATTTCTTAATGACTTTAAATGGGAGGATTTTCTGGGTGTCGTTCTCCTTTCTCTCCTCAAGATCCTCTCTCCCATTTGGTGAAATACCCACAACTTAGGAAAACATGCCCAGCACCTGATGAAATGAATTCCAGTCCATGAAAACTTAAGGCAACCTTCTTAAAACTGGATATGTATGAAAATTCTCAGTCATCCAGGTCATCATCGTCCCAAAGATGCTTTTTTCATAAAGCAACTCGATTTTCTTGTTTTTCCCCCTCAAAGATGTTTCGCTTCTTCTCATCCAAGAAGCTTCTGGAAGAACTGAAGAAGCTCCTTGGATGAGAATCGAAATACCTTCAAGGAAAAACAGAGTCCAGTTGCCTCTTGACAAAGGAACTTCTTAAACTGGGTTGTCTCCAGATACTATTTTAAATGGTACAACCATTTTGTTCCCAATCTGCATCAACCAAGTTTCATTATTTTTAAACCTTTCTACTTTAGACTTCTGGTAAAAGTTGCCTTAGTTACTGTAAGGCATCCAATATTAAATTTGATTTTGGTCGATGCTATTTTTTCTCTTGTACAAGATTATATTTGATTTGGCTGGTACTATTTTAAAATATTAGTCATTCCTCAATCCCCAAATTTGATCTTTTACAGGTAATCCTGGTCTTAAGTGTCACAACTGGGATCAGAATTTCCAAGCAAGGCAGTTGTTAAGTGATTCTTGCCCGATTTTACAACTTGTTGTCACAGTTAAGTAAACCACTCTTAAGTGAATCATGTGGTCATTAAGGGAATCCAGCCCCACCCTTTGATTTGGCTTGTTGGAAGCCAGTTGGGCAGGTTGAAAATAGCAATCACATGACCACAAGACACTGCAACCGTCATAAAAACACCCTGGTTGCCAAGCACCCAAATTCTGATCATGTGACTGTGTGGGGATGCCGTCGTAAGTGTGAGGACCAGTCATACATCACTTTTTCCAGGGCCATAACTTTGGTCACTTAACAAATGGCTGTTGTGGACTGCCTGTATTTCTAATTTGGGCACCAGGTTGACGGATGTCTCTGTGTGTTTAACCTTAAATTACCAGTTGGGGAGAAAACTGACTTACTTCCCTTGATGTCAAAAAAAAACACCAATTCCCAAAACAAAACTGGATAGCAGAATCTAAGTACAGGCATTCCTCGACATACGATTATAAATAAGCCCAAAATTTCTGTGGCTAAGTGAGACATTTGTTAACCAAGTTTTGCCCCCATTATAGGACCTTTCTTGCCATACTTGCTAAGTGAATCAACTGCAGGTGTTAAGTTAGAAACACAGTTCTTAAGTGAATCTGGCCTCTCCGCTGATTTTGCTTGTCATAAAACATGACTGCAGGACCCTGCAACCGTCACAAATACAAGCCAGTTGCCAAAAGTCTGAATTTTGATCACGTGCGACGGCCGTTTTAAGTGTGAAAAACGGTAATAAGTTTCTTTTTTTCCGGTGCCGTTCTAACTTCAGACGGTCACTAAACAAACTTGGTTAAGTCGAGGATTGCCTGCACCTCCACCTCCTCCCCTTGTGGGCAGGGAAGGAATTGTTCAGAAATCTCAGTGGCTGGATGACCGCTGATACACACACAGACAGACAGACAAAACCAGACAGACAGACAAAACACACTCACTCCCACTGAAACCAGCAGTGCAGCTCCCAATTTCCCTCCACCTGACACACAAGGTTCCCAGTATGAAGAGAACAAGCTGGTGTACGGGAAGAGACTCTGAAATATGATAAAAGATCCTTGGCTTCCATCCCGAGGTCTTGGAAGACCAGAGGTGATCTTGGAAATGGAATTATTGGAATTCTTTTATTGGCCAAATGTGATTGGACATACAAGGAATTTGTCTTGCTGCAAATGCTCTCAGTGTACATAAAAGCAGGTTCTGACCAGTTCTGGAGAACCGGTAGCGAAATTTTGAGTAGTTTGGGGAACCGTCCAATACCACCTCTGACTGGCCCCACCAACCCCATCTATTCTCTGCCTCCCATTGAGTCCCAGCTGATCGGCTGGGTCTGCTCTGGTTGCCCTGCGCAGGAGAACGGAGCTGGAAAGCAGGTTAGTGGGGTCGGGAGGGAATGAGGGTTTTACAGTATCCTTCCCCTGCCACGCCCACCAAGCCACGCCCACAGAACCGGTAGTAAAAAAAAAAAAAACTGAATCCCGCCATTGTGGAAGACAACATACTTCAGTAGATGGGCCAGCTTCTTGGGTGGTGTGCACCAAAGCAAGTAGGGCAGGGTGTGGAAATACCAGACGTAGAACTGGTAGTGCAAGGAGCGGCTGAAGCAAACGCCAATGAAATTGGAGGTAAAGAGTGGGAAAACGATCTGTGGCTTTCGGTTAAGGAAAGATTGCGCAGTGCAAAACTCACACAGGGCTATAACAACATTGTGACGGATATTGAACTATAACCAGCCTTAGCGACTTTGAGACTCGTGGATTTCGACTCCCAGAATTCCCCCAGCCAGCTGAGGAATTCTGGGAGTTGAAGTTCACAAGCCTCAGAGTTGCCAAGGTTAACTGTTGAGTAATGAACTCTTCCGTAATAATCCACCAACCAAGAAAACCTCACATTTGGTGAAAGGATATGATTGGCTGAGAGAGGTTCTGGATGGTCCTTCCTCTTGGCTGGATCTTTTAACAGGCTCAATATGTTTTCATCAGATCTGTAAGAGACCAGTAAGAAAATGGATCCATTTCATGGTGGATTATTTGCCAGGATTAGCCATATCTATACTTGAGATCCCGGAGTGACGCCTGCTTTCCATTCCGGAACTGTTGACTTTACACACGAAAGCAATTGCAACAAAATTCAACACAAGGGCAACAAAAAATATCTTTCTCTCTCTAAGGACAGTGATAGAAAATTTAAAATTACTCCCATTAAAAGTACAAAAGAAGGACTAGAGGAGGCATGATAGCAGCCTTCCAATGTTTAAGGGGCTGCCACAAAGAGGAGGGGGGTCAACTTATTTTCCAAAGCACCTGAAGGCAGGACAAGATGGAAACTCATCAAAGGAGAGAAGCAACTTGGAACGGAGGAGAAATTTCCTGACAGTTAGAACAATTCATCAGTGGGACAGCTTGCCTCCAGAAGTTCTTAACTGTAGTTAAGCAAGTCACTGCAGTCCTTAAGCGAATCATGCTCCAGAAGATGTAGGTGGTCCATCAATGGATGTGTTTAAGGAGAGATTGGACAGACAGCCATGTCTGGAATGGTAAGCTTAAGAAGCGGGTTGGACTTAGAACAGGGGTCTCCAACCTTGGCAACTTTTAAGCCTGGCGGACTTCAACTCCCAGAATTCCTCAGCCGGCAAC